GAGAATGCGTTTATCACGCCGTACCGGTTGGATTTCGGAGCCAGGTTCGAATCGGGTTATCCGTGGAGCGCTGTCTGTACAGCATCTGTTAGCATGGTGTCCAGTTGCTTGAGGGCTTCGAACGGTTTCCATTACTTTGTCAGAAACGAGCTTCTACATCATGTCATCATGAGAACACCTGTCGCACCGGATTTCAATGATAGACACTTCGAAATTATGGCTCGGTCACATTTAGAATAAGAAACTACGCAAGGCTAAGCCACCGCCAATTTTCGAAAAAGCCGGATGAAAATCGGACTCTCGCGGCTGTAATGCCTGACAGTTCCAAGCATACAGCGTGACTCGGACAGATGATCCGGTTTGGATCCGTCTGTTGGTTTTAACCGCTGCCATATTGGCGTGGCCTGGAGCCTAGCCGGTAGGGTCTAAAAAACCGGCATGTGACGCCGCCACCCAAGGCTTCCGAAACGGCTCGTCCGATCGCCTTGAAAACTTTACCAGTCGATTACGTGCAATGAGGTGAGTCATGGGGAGGCAATATCGAGATTTGGCCCGAGGTCAAACACCTCGAAAACGCGAAGGGACAATTTTACATGCAAATGCAGACAACTGGATCTCAAAGCCTACTGGGCTGATCACTGTGAAACTTTCGCCATTGGATGCCTAATATCTGATTCCCCCTTGCGGTTCCAAATTTGGTGACCCTAGGGCAGGTTAAAAGTCGTCAGTTTTAAAAAGTCCAAAATTCTTGTTTGCACACAACGTATAGTTCAAAACCTGCCGAACAGATCACGGCCAAGCCTTGCCATTCAGTACGCCATTTGGCCTAATTCTCGGTTGAAGCTGCAAGTATGGTGCCATTTATAATTATGACTTTTCCTTTATATTTGTTCCCAAGAAAAAGTGCAGCTTGGTTAGGCTGGCCGCATGAGGTTGACTTTCTCCTTAGCGGAGGTGTTAATCGTGGCGACACCATGCACAATACAATTGAGCGCATGATGTTCAGCGCAACACCTCCGTTAAGGAGAAATTCAACCTCATAAGTCAGCCTAGCCAAGCTGCACTTTCTCTTGGGAACAAACATAGAGGAAAAGGCATATTTATAACTGGCACCATATTTGCCGCTTCAACAGAGTAAATGGCCTACTGAGTGGTAAGGTTTGGCAGCTATCGGTGTGGTAGATTCTGAGCTATAAGTTGTCTGCAAGCAAGAATTTTGGGCTTTGCGGAATTTGACGACTTTAGACCTGACCTGCGGTCACCAAATTTGGAACCGCAAGAGTGAATCAGGTATGGGGCATTCATTGGTGAAGGTTTTGCAGTGATCAGTTTGGTAGATTCTGAGCTATAAGTTGTTTGCATTAGAGAATTTTGGACTTCGTGAAATTTGACAACTTTTGCCTTGACCTAGGGTCCCCAAATTCAGAACTTTAAGGGGGAATCAGGTATGAGCCATCTAATGGTGAAAGCTTCGCGGTGATCGGTCCAGTAGGCTCTTAGATCTGAGTTGCCTGCATTTGCATGTAAAATTGTCCATTCACGTTTTCGAGGTGTTTGACCTCAGGTCAGGTCTCGATATTGCCTCCACGTGACTCACCTCATTGTACGGAATCGATTGGTGAAAGTTTTAAGGCGATCGGTCGAACTGTTTTGGAAAACCCGCGAGCCCTCGTCATATGCCGGTTTTTTTAGACCCTACCACCAGGTCTCGTCAGTTCCTGACGGCTGCGTGTGGTCTCTGACATAATGGAGGCTAAGGTAAGTTATGGTTGAGTAACCACTTGAGTAAGCACTATAACCACAGTAGTTGAGTAACCACTATAACCACAAAATATTTGTCGTACCACTGAGGCAAATGACTTATTCACTTAAAATACTGTCTAGGGATGAAGCTTAACACGCATGCACCAATCTTATGTAATTCCTGAGGTAATTTCTGACAAACGGATCTCCCAGAGGCTTAGGACTTTGCCCCTTAGATGTGTTTAGAACGCCTAGGCTTGCTGGCTTGCTGTCCGGCCTAGCTGAGGTAGGGGAAGGGGGAGGCAGACGCCAGTAGCTGAGCTTTGGGAAAACATAACGCATTGATAAGTATCGCACGAGTTGCCGTTAGCATTAACCCAATCCGTCTTCTGACGGCGACCATCAGCTATCACGGTTTTCTTAAGAGCTCACGTTCCACCGAACGCCTTTCAGGAGTGCCGATTTCTGTAAATTATGGGGGGAGGGGGGCGAGCCAAAGGCCCGAAAACCTACCCCCAATTTTTTCTCACCGGATTTAGCCCACTTTATTTTGTTTAAACGCAATGTATGGCTTTAATCTTTGTGTAATTTATAAGAACTTTTAATGTAGTAGTACAGAAGCCACGCAGGGCTGGATCCATGTAGCAGGCACTGTACGTACGCGTTTCTTCTAATTAGCACATGAAGGCCCTTAAGAGGTCGCTTGAACACGCCGATGGTGCTCTTCCATAGCAGTCATGGAAGACGACATTTTGATTGTGTTGGACGGAGACGGGGTTAGCCATGAAGAATTTAGGTCATTTCAATATTCCAGAGCTTTTCACTTTAATCTCACGAACCATTGCGTGTCTGATGGCGCTACGCATGTGAAGTTTATTGTATAGTGTATCCGCTTAGCTGCTACGAATTGTATCTGGTGGTGACAGCAGCCATGATTTTTTGTCACGAGAGTGGTACGAGACGCCACTACGCAGAAAGATCAAAGAACATAGTCTTAATGCTGTGATCATCTTTTCCCCACGTTTTTTTGCGGTATTCCAACCAAAACATTGGGAGGGCCAAGCCAACATTGGGAGGCCCAACTCAACATTGGGGAGGGGGGGGGGGCATGGCCCTCACAAAATAATACAAATCGACAACCGTGACGCCCTTTATGTACAGCGTTATTTGTACATAAAAGGCGTTCAATGGAGCGTATACCCATGAACATTTATGCACAGCCGACGAGAACTGATATCTTGGAGTAAGGGCCACAATTTGGGAATTACTTTGAATGTCTAGTTCATGCCGGGTTGGTCTCACTGTTGGGCGAACAGCTGACCGTCGGCAGCCTCGCGACCTCGGGGTGGACAGCTTGGCCGAATGGGGGCAACTCTGCTCCACTACAACATCAAGCGATTCAGTTTACAATATTTTATGTTAACACGCACGGCCTCAGGAAAATGGCTGTCCTGCATTCCTTGGCGCAGTTCCTGAAAACATGGCCATTTCAAAGACACATGAACACCAACGCGGCCTGCGAGGTCAAGTTCCGGCACTCTGACGGGGTCAAGGTCAGGGATAGTACCCGCCGGTACACGGCCAGGTGAAACGACGTTGCTGTGATGGCAGACCTTGCATAGTCGTAGCCTCTATCGAAGCCACGCTCTTGATGTTACTGGGACTTTACGCAACGGCTCAGCAGCTGATGAGACTCGACCTCCCACCCCGGCGGGGAAGACGGGCTCAGCGGCCGAGCCACGCCGCATGCCCTGCCTTCTGAAGCGGCAGGTCCCATGAACAAACGGCGCAAATATCCAAGACACCTGACGCGCCTATAAGACTAAATAACTACCCAACCCTGACCAACACTAGCCATCCCTTACGAACAAACGCGTCGCTTACCGTCTGATGCTAAGTTTGTTTTCGCCTGACACATTGGTGTCTCGTAAGTTGTGGTCAATTTTTTAGAACCGAGTCGATCGAGGCGAAATAGCTCCAACAACTGCCCTAAAAAAGCCGTGATGAGGGGTTCGACGTCGGCAGTGGGACAAGTGCGTGACGAGGGCGCGTGAACTCGAAGCGCTTTGGAGGCGACATTAGAGCCGCTGCCTCTTCTGCACCCCGGTGACACCATTGTTCACGTCACCTGTTGACGCCACATGTCATTGTTGACATGGTCTTTGATGTCGGGATATACAGCCCTCTTCACCTCACCACCTTTATTCAGGAGACACTGACAGCATGACAGAAGGTTTTCTAAATGGTTTCAACTGCCTGGAAGTTCAGTTTTGAAGTTTCAAAACATGCGGGTAGATAATGCATCCAACCGTGTGACTCAGTTCGGAGAATTAAACAGGCGGCCGCATAAGCAGAGACCGTAGTCCAGGAACTGCGAGCTGAACCCAGGGGCACGTGACCTCCCAATTTGTATTTGTAAGCGTTTCAGAACACAGAGATTCTCTTTCTCTCAGATCTGCAACACGTCTTGGGTGAGAGTGATTTGTGCCATTATTACGGAAACAGAACGCAGGTGAACTGAGATTCAAAATGGTAATCAATAGGAGTTCTTATGTGCCATTACTATGGAAGCAGAACGTATGTGAACTGAGATTAAAAATGATGATCAAACGGTGCCACGAGACTCTCGTGCGCACACCGAAGAGATGGCCATTATTTACACTCCACCGTAGTGTCACAATGCTGAACATCCATCCTGACTAGCTGCACCCGGACACTACAGTACCCAATATTTGAAATTATCTGAATCCTCGCACGAACACAAACACACACACATACACAACGAGATTGTTTCCTGGCAACACATGGATGCAAAAGTGAAGTGACAGATCATAGTATTTCGAACTTTACTAGCCGAGCATGCCGGCAGGAAAAGGGCCACAAGTCTCAGACAGATGGCGCTAAGCTATATACCGCCACACAAGCGAGGTACAAAGATATAAAACAAAGTTCATGCACAGTGAACCGGACAGAGTGTGCACGTGCACAGTGCACACGTCCCGGGTGACTCAAAACATGTAAAAACGCTCGTCTCTCAAACAGTAGAAAACAGCTCCGTGGCAGCAACAACCACGCCGAAATTCCTCAATGATACCAGAGGCAGTGACTTGCAACACGTACGTTAGACAATGAAGAACACTGTGCAGCATGGCTCCGTGCATGCACACTTGCACAGATGCCTACGCACGCCCCGTGTCGCCACCTTCATTCGCGTACCAGCGACCCCATTGGCTGGTCGCTAAATCCGTAATCGCCTGCACAGACCATGTACATCTCAGATCGAAGATCCTGCTGCACCTCTTCTTCACGTCCGCGAGACGCTTCCTTCCCACGTGGCGGACAGGCAGTAATCGTCACCACGATTCACACCCATTTGAGATTCATTGGACAGCAAAAGCTTGCTTAAGTCTTGAGGGTCCATTCACAAATACACGTATAAAGCTTCTGGCACATAGAACGCCCGCCGCCCAACAGCCGTAACCCGGCACCCTATAGCACCGCTGTCACCGACAGCTCTCTTCTGAATCCATCGCGGTAAAAATATATCAGTGAGGATATGCCTAAGTGAACCTTCAAAACACATTTAGTTCATAGCTGCACCGCGTGCACGTTATGCATTAAATTTGAACTATGGTGTCCTTTTGCGAACAGGGTTCCCGTCATATTGAACACGTTCCAGGTGTCCTAAATGTAGCACGTACTGCTTGCGACTCAGCGACGGACAGTTTACGACCAAGTATGTGGATATGTGGGCTTGAATGGACACTCTACGGTAAACCAGCAACCCTGTCTCTGTCAACTCCAGGAGTCCACCAAATTAACAAAGGCGGAGCCAAAGGGTACGGTAATTTTTGCTATCTACACCGCGGTTATAAATACAGATACGTGACCACTGAAGTGTATGCAACGTCCGTTGTGCCAGACAAGAATACGTGAACCTCTATGAAGTAGCACAGTACACATCAGGGAACGTCAAAGATATGTGGAGGATTATCTTTGAATCAAACAGCCCATTTTTCTTGTTTGTAGGCATTGATTCTGTTCATAGGAGCATCTGTTGGTACTGGCTGGCACACCCACAGCAGACAATTTAGCGCAACGCGTGACACAAACAACGCGTGGTGCTGACGGCTGAACCAGCCCAGCTGTTCGCCACAGCAAAAAAGCTGAAGCCAAACCATGCACATGTAGACCAGCGCGCCGTTTGCTCGTAGCGTGGCTGCTACGCCTTCACTCGTCCTCATCACTCGTCCTCATCACGCCAGCTGGGCCGATGAGTGGGCCCTTAGGCGGGCAGTGTTCGGTGGGTTCACATCCAGGCGACCGCGATAATGACAGCTGAAGAAGCCGCTGTCCACTTGCCGCACTCTTCGTCAGCAGCCACTTCCACCACGCCGTAGTCCCGCAGCACGCAGCGCTGTCAGATTTTACGCGAACTCGCGTCAGACAGCCGAAAGATCGCCGGCATTCTGACCACCGTCTCCAGGGCAGCGCATCGCGGCGTCTGGCGTTGTGACCCCGTCTCGCGGTAGGTTCACCGCCTGGTCTCACGACAGGTCCCGGGCTGGGCCGAGGAGCCGTGGTCTCAGGCCCTGCGTCCTGTAGCCGGACTCTACATGCTACCGTGGTATACGGCGCGAAACGTCGCTGACCCAGTCCCCGCACGCCTTCAGCTGACTGCAGAACGGTCCTCGCCTGGGCCGAGCCGGAAAACCGGCGGACCCGGTCGTGGTGCGTCACAAAGTCGGGCACCGGTCCGGCCGCGTGGACAGCGCTGGCGTCGGGACATGGAGCCGTTTCCGCTGATGGCTCAGTCCTCGCGTGCCCTGTAGCTGGACTTCCACACCTCGGCCAGCACCACGGCCGAGTGGAAACGGTGGAAGATGGCCAGCGGCAACGTCACGCGCAGGATCACCGCCCAGTGCAGCCGGCCGTAAAAGTTCAACTGGAACAGCCGGCGCGCCAGAAGATCAGGACATAGGCCACCGAGTCAAATACAAGGTCCCCAGGTCAGAGAGAGGGACATCAGGTCAATGCAAGGTCCACAGGTCAGACGAGGGTCATCAAGGGAGAGGAGGCGTTGCTGTCACGCGCCAGCCAATCAAGATATGTTGATCAGAGGACGCGTCACTGGACAGTGACCCGTGGTATCACGGGGCGGCTGACCTTAACCCGTCACCTGCTTTCTTGCACCAGGACGGACTGCCAAGCACCAGACTATCACGGCTAAGCTTTCAAGAGGTCAGCAGCAGGGTCTTGTCAGTAAATGGACGGTCATGGTCAACGGCTCATCCGACAGGTCACAGCGGCGCCAGCATGGACACCAGGCAGAGGAACGCACATGTGACGCACGATGATAAAATCTGTGTTGGTGGTGATGTGGAAGTACAATATGTTCATTATGATGGCAATCGTTGTCTTCACATTGGTAGCTCTGGACGGTCAGATGGAAACACAAAGCCGTAATCAGAATGTACTCTGACAAGATGACAAGAACTACTAAATTGTGTCATACGTTACAGAGAGGCCACCCAAGGACTGGATTATAAGCAATGGTAAACATGAAACGTGGCCCCACGTCAGGCCTTCAAAGGGCGACAGGTGTTGGTACGACGCAACAAGTCATCGCTATCTTCATCCAGACAATGGAGTGAGACTCCAGGGTAGTTATCTCTAATGGAGCCGACACCATTCCTGACCCACAGCTGCGTTCGTTATTAACAGGCCAACTGGTGTGCTCAGTGTGTGTTAGTGCCAACTGGTGTGCTATGTGTGTGTTGGTACGCTGCCGGATGACATGAAGAAACGGATTGAATGCTGCCATTCGTAAGAAATAACCCATGTCGTAAGCGTAAAGTAGGTGAATTATTGCTGGAACAGGCTGAGAGCAATTACGAGTATGTGGATAACGGTGCCAATACTTTAATGGCATAGCTCAATCGTGCTCACTGATGGACGGCAGATAATGTCAAACGTGTCACATCGTTGTTTCAAACTCATTAATCCAATCAACGTTAATAATTGGCCCAACACAAAGGAAGGAGGTGAGTGCCAATGTGGCTTACAAAAACGATCTTCGTATGCGCATCTAACAGGCTCGAGGCCACGCGAATTCGAGCATCCGCAGACGTGGAGGCGAAAGTGCGCTAATTCCTCACGAGCAACAAAGGGTGTGTGATACTGACACTGCTACAAAAAGCCAAAGCCTTTACGATCGATGCGGCAGAGAAATAAGAAAAATGAAATAATACAATGTGTCTGCGCGCGCGCGCGCGTGTGTGTGTGTGCGTGTGCGTGTGCGTGTGCGTGTGCGTGCGCGTATGCGTGTACGTGTGCGTGTAAGTATATATTTACAATAACAATAACAATATAGCGAAAAAACGCTGAAAAACTGTCTTTTCTGCTTGGCTTTCACAGTGCCAACAACAGCTATCAATCTCACTTCTCGTAGTAAGTCGCATGCCCCAATACCCATTGTTGCTTTCTCACTAACCTGCACGGGGTTTGCGTCCACTTTTTCGATCTCGAACGTGTAGACGAGCCAGAGGGCGAGGTTGCAGAGCAGCAGGAAGGTGACCACGTGGCGTCCGGGCTTGGTTCGGTCGTGTTCCGGCAGGTACACCGAACGCTTCGCCACATCCGATATGTATATCAGCTGACTCATCACCTGAGAGCGCCACCCCGGCCGTCATCAATGCGAGCGCAGTTCCTATCTTGTCCGTGTTTTAGACACGTCCACACCGTGTTTTTTGGCATAAGACTTATCAAACCAGCCCTGCCACTTTTCTGAGACGCAACGTTAACCAAATTAAGCCGAAAGTTCATCAAACCACAATGTCAGTAACAGGCAGCCTGAGTAAGGCAGTCCGCACAACATACCGCAAAGCGACATAAACATGTTTTTTTTTCTCAGAAGATCTTACGTACTTCGTATTCCATAACTGGTCTCAACGCCTAGAGAGGTACTAAGTAAAAGGTTGCGGAGTGGATGAAGGCCCATAGCTGTTCAGAAAAGCGCGTGCTTGGCTGAAACCGTCGACAGTAAGTGACATAGACGTCACAAAACGCAAGCATTACTTCACGATTTTGCCGCAAGATGACACTGACCTGCAGAATGACCAGTGCCGAGGTGACCAGAACCAGAATGTTCGGGACGTTTTGCATGGGCGACAGAGCGGCGGCGATCAAGCAGAACATCGAGTACAGGAAAAGGCCGAATGCCGACACCCGCAACAAGATGGCGTCCAGGTCATCAGGCTTGTCATAAGCAAACTTCAGCCTTCTGCTTCTGAAAACCGGATGATACACTGCATGAAGTGGTCAGTTTTATAAGCATAGCGGGGGTAGAAGCTGTAAATTGCTAACTTAAAAACATGGCTAATTTCGAAGCATCTTAAACATCATCTAAATCAACGTAACCATAGATATCACTGGATTCAGTCATCACAGCAGACCCTGTGACTCATCTAAGGCCTCGACATAGACCAGAGCAGCAGCAGCAGTTCCAACCTGAGAATTCCGATCAAACTTGCGAGCATCATGAGGAAGAGGATGCCGGCGTGGCTGGTGTCGGCCAGGAAGATGGCCAGGCGGCGGTGCTGATCCTGCTGCACCAGTACGAAGAATAGCACCAGGCAGATAGTGATGATGACCAGCGCCAGCAGGCCGCAGAACAGGCCCTTCGAAACACCGATGCAGTCCACCTGCAGCCAACACGCGAAGTGGTCGGGTGGTGTGAGAACCCGCCCAAGTAGGGTAACCAAACGGAGATGGAAAGGGATTGCAAACAGCATCATATCTAAACACTGCTACCGCTCCGATGCACCGTCATCAAACAAGAGTGCATTTGTAACGTAATGTGATGTAATCCACCAGAAACTTGAGCCAGGATTTATTTTGTGATTTTGCAATGGTTACGACACCTCGCTTTGTTCTAACCATCGTCAGATACGCTGAGATGGTGATCGCTTGATGCAGTGATGATAAATTGGCATGTATGTACCGTAAAGACCAACAACGCATGCATTTGATGGTAGCCTATTTGGTAATAAGGTTGTCTTTGCATGTCAACTGTTGTGCTTGGCACAGAAGATGCAAGCAAAAAAGCTCGTGTAAACATTTTAGCGCACTTTAAAAACCGTTAAACCTGGTATAATGGAAAGTTCACCCCAAGTACAGCTCACATACAAATTCGAAACGAAACCTGTGCAGTTACAGCACATCAACGACCATTTTTTCGCGAGGAGGGCAGGAGCAGGTGTGACCGAGTAGCTTGCTCTTCACCTTGGTGTGCGCTTTCCTCGAAGAAACGCTGACGTGGTCACGGTTGACGTCCTCGTCCACGTAGTGTGGACACCGACCGATGTTCTTCCACATGACGAAGATGACGGTGGCGCCGATCAGCGAATACTCGATGATCAGGGGGAAAAGGTAGGGTGACGCGTCGCCCACCACCTCGCCCATGATGTTGATTCGGCCGCAGTTGTTTTTCGCCTCGCTCTCCCCGTGTCTTTCTGCAATGAACGAGGGCCGGCCATGGTCAAAGACAGCTGGCGGCCGCGTCCACGTGTTATCAGCGTAAATGAAAACGAACGCAGCGAAAATCGGGAGGGCGGGAACTGGCGCGTACGGAAATGATACGCTGCCATGCTATGAAATCAACGCATTGCATTTCTTGATGCTTCGTGTTTTCGTGATCATTGGGTGGGCCATATCATCATCCGTATACATCGTGGAGAACTTCTTACTTTACACAAGCCGGCTACCAATGCAAGCTGATACGGTACATAATATATGAAGGGTTGAATAACTGAACGCATTACGCTGGCCTGACATACAGCACGAAACGCTGCAAGCGGAAAATTGTGACCATAAACCACATTATGCAACAGACAATTGGAAGATGTGGCGTATAGCATACTATGCAGGTTGAGCTCGCTAAGTACGGCAAGTAAACATAACCTACGTATCTGCATGACCAGCAGGATGTACGAGGTGCAGGCACGACAACAACTGGCTGTTAAAACCTCCATCCATCCTCAAAAGGCAGAGAAACCATGTCTTTTGACGTGTGTTTTTTAGCGTGGCATATGTCCACGACACGTGACTTGCTGTATTTGAAGGCAAAACAGATCCCTGTAACGTCACGCCAACCAATTCGATCACGGCCATTACCTTGAAACCCCAAGCAGGAATAGTAGAACGGGCATTTCCCCATGACTGAAAACAAGTATAAGCGAGTTGCGCATAGGCGTTTTGATTGGTGAATTTTGCATATTATGTTCGCATTTCGCTGGGGTAACGCTTGCGACGGGTCCATGCTCGGTGCCGGTGAGCACCATGTCCAGCCGGATCGCAGCAGCCCGGAGCGGCCAGTCGTCCAGCAGGGTACTCCACGCGCTCTGCACCAGCCCCTCGGAAGAGAGCGTGGCGCCGGCATCACCCCGCCCGAGTGGCGTCTCGTTGGTGGGCTGGTGGGGTGCGGCGTTGGCACGCGACCGTACCGTTCCGGGGTCAGTTGCAGGGTTCATCAAACGGGCTGGACAGGGGCCTCAACCTCAGGGAGGCGAGGCTTGCCTGCAGGGGAGGTTAAGCTCATGGGGACGCGCGCTGAAGGGAAGAGGGACGCGTCGCACGGCTGACGCGAAAGCCCCTCGTTATCCTGCCATGTGTGACGCGTTTCGTGGACAGGCCAAAGAGTCCAAGTTTAGCTGCACCAATGATGCGCTACACTGATGCAACTCAGTTTTAAAATTCCTATGCGAAGCTGCTATCCGCTAAGATTCAGTCCCTACTTATTTTGTGATGCCACTGAGCGGGGCAGGTGCTGACGGGCCGTCCGGGGGGGGGGGGGGGGGGGGAATCGGAGGACAGGTCTCGTCCGGCTAGTGCAGTAACAAAGCAATGTGGTGGTAGGCGCAACTCAGTACTAATCTCGAAGACTGGTCACATCTCGCCAGCTGGTCCCATAACGGATCTGGACTGAGGCCACCGCTAGCCAAGGACATGACGCAGCTGGCCGGTCTCATTTCTCGAACGGAACATCGTGCTTGCGATGGGGTACCAGAGTGCCACTGCGCTCGAACGCCACAGTCAGTCCTCTAGACAAACGCTCGAACGCCACAGTCAGTCCTCTGGACAAATGCCAAGATGTCAGGTGGCCTAAATAATGGCTAAATTTATTGGCATCGGAAATTGCTCGCCGCAGTAATCTCATCCGATTATAGGATGCCCTTTTCATATGCATGCAAATACGTGATATGCGATCAGGCACAAGTTCCGTTCCGGGCCGAGCCAAGCAGAAGTTCAGCCAGCATATCTGAATATGCCCAGCTAGACTACCATTCATTAAAGGCTTGTGACTAAACTGCAACAGATTCCCATCCACGAATACATAAATCTGTTAAAAGGAGGACGCCCGCCAGAATTTCGCCGGCCTAATGGCACGCTACGCTGTAAATACGTAAATGCACGGAGATGGTCGCCTTCCATTCCAGTAGAAATGCTTTGTCAATGCAACGACTCGGCATTTTCGAACTGGGCTGCCAGTCGTACAAACACCCCCGAGGAACGTGCGCTATGCAGTGCTTTTATATTGCGTGGAAGTGCCCGTACCAAGTACAGATATGACAGGCACTTGAACTGATGCCCTCAACAAGGGTGGTAATTTACAGCCAGTTTTTCGGCCAGCTATTTTTTTCGATCGTCGCCAGGCGTCAGCTGATTCTGAGAGCCAGCTGAGAACAGCTGGCGCGCAACGACACACGGTCCGTCAATACGTCACTAGCGCCCGCCACGCAGACGACAACACGGTCTTTACGTCGAGCAGTCTGAAACCACATTTTCTCCCATGACATCATATGAATGCATCAATGCTCCCGATGTCTGCCTGCATTTGAACGGATAATGGCTTATCTTAACATGCGCTCGAATAGGGGATAATTTTGACCATCCATACGGTTTTTCAAACTTCTGATCGGTACTGTTTTAGCGACGTCCAACCTTGTATTGCCCTAAACAATGGAAAAGGCGATATTTTGGTGTAGCAAATCATAAATAAATTTTAAGGTCACTGGCCTACAGCAGGTCAAAATTAGACTATGGATATCAGTAAATGAATTCTTGGGATCTTCCAGCTGTTGCGACAGCGGACAGTGAGGCGAGGTCATACAAATTTGAACTGATTTCTTAGACATAAATTCATATAAGGGTTACAGCTAACTCCACAAACCTTGAGTAAGGTGCAAAAGTCAGATCAAGGTTTAAAACAGACCGATTTTCGACTTGAGGACTTTATTGCATACTTTTTTACATTTATTTCGAATTCTTTGATCACAATGCAAGCTTCTTTCTTATTTTGACCTTATGAAAGTCAGCCTAACATGAAAATAATTACTCTTCTGTAATCACGAGCATCCGCTTAGGGCAGCTGTTGACTTTAACTTTATATTAGGAAGTTAAATAACATCAAAATTGCTTTTCGTTGTGCTTACATCAATTTCAGATGAGGTTCCCAACCTAGCATGACCCAGAGTGACCTTTTGTTTGGAAGGTAAACCTGATTGCACGAGGAGGTCTGAGAGCACGTCGGAGACTGATCTCGAGTTTAACCTTGCTCGGCCTCATTTTACCCGAAGGTCACGACCTAGGGACCTGCAAAATTAACACATATGATTTCAAATGAGCCTACCTCCCTTGTGCACTGTTTCTAATCCTCTCACCTTCTGGTATTTCAGAGTATCAAGGTGGCCCCTCTTCAGCCGAGCGCTTCGCGTTAAACCGACCACACGGGCGCGTGTTCATAGTTAAATATTCCATCAGACAGGGGTGGCAGGTCGGAAAACAACAGCATGACGCACAATAAGTTACGGCCAACGACACATGCAGCCGTTTCATGGAAGCAAAGGGCTGTCACTCACCCAGTATCATGAAGTCCTCCGTCTTGGCGTCGCCCGTCGCCTCGCTGTAGTCGGTGAAGACTCGCAGGCTCTCGCGCACCAGCGTGCGGACCCAGACGCAGATGTTGGTGGCCACAAGGTGCATCAGGCCGAACCGGGCCACCACCTTAAACTTGTGAATGTTCAGCTGCAGCAGACGAGAGTGCGGGAAACGGTCAACACTGAACCGGGCCACCAATGTGAGCTTATGGATTAATTGTCTGAATGTCGCAAATACGAGGGCTGTATCTAACGTGAGATTGACCTTACGCATCACAATTACATTATCTGAGGTATCCACGTGTATTAGCCTGACACGCAGGCTGCGTGATGTACCTAAACAAGTGAATGTGGTACCAACCACAAACACGCAGGGGCACAGGCAAGGGGGCGCAGGCAAAAGGGGCGCAGGCAAGGGAGTGCAGGCAAGCGGGCGCAGGCTAGGGGGCGCAGGGGGCACGTGACCGAAGGCATGACCGGGGTTGCATTGAGGGACCACGGCCCGTAGGACCGGCACCTACAAATGTCAGTTACAGGGCCTCTCGTGCCGATCGGGGACCACCTGGGACAACGAGGGCCTCTGTGCTGGTCAGCGACCACCAATACCGAAACGGTCCATTGCTATTGAGAAGGCCGGGGCAAACGAATGCTAGTCAAAAGGCCTCTTGCATTGCTCGGAGCCCCTCAGACGACAAAGGGCCCCTATGTCGATTGAGGAGCCTGCCCAACAGGGCATCTTGTGTCGGCAAGAGGCCCCAGAAGGACAAGAACCTATCTGCTGATTGGGAACACAGGGACACGTGCCCTGGGGAGGGGGGGGGGGGGCACTGTGTGCGCACGGCTCTGAAGGGGGCCTGTTCGACTTTAGTTTTTACGAAAATGTGACGCCCCCTGAAGTGGGCTGACAACCACTGTTTTGCTATTTCTGCTGCGCGTGTGGTTTTGCTCCTTAGAACGCGGCGGTTCTTGAACGGCTGTGTGAGGACGTTCGCTTCCCCAGAACATGTTGCTATTGTCACTGACAACTGCCAGCTGTGGTGAGACAGCGCAGAAGACAAAGAATACCCGACCTCACGTTGGCTTAGGGCCCCAAACCCGAGCTGCTCCGCCAGAGTGCACTGCATTTTACAGAAGTGGCCTCCGATCTCCGAGTGCCCAGCGCACGTAATAGCCTCGCTGTATAATGGGGCATCTAGAGGGTCGTCCCTCCCCTTTCCCCTACATCGGCCAGCGGCAGCGCCCACTGCCAGTGGTCCGCCCGGTTAGAGCTGGGCGGGATGTGGACGCGATCCACAGCAGGCTGCATGGAAAGGGAATGGAGAACGACAACTGGCACCCACAAGGACAAGGGAGAGAACGTAATGTAAGCAGAGAGACGACAGCGAAACGACTTGCGGGTAGCGATCAAACAGGGCAAAGGAACCCAAGAAGTAGCGGAACGGCATGCACAAAAAAACTATAAGACGAAAAAAGCTTCGGTGCAGCGGCAGTATAATCCATGGCATACATGTAACATAAGCTATATCATAATGTCAGACTAAGAAAACACACAATCACCTGAGCGAGGAAGCAGCTGGTATGTTGACTGCTTCACGTCAAATTAACAACAGTAGTTAAATGTCTGCTAAGCGCACTGTCACGTGGAATGCAATAGGCAAAAGGAATTCGGCTAAACTTTACGTGAATGAATCAGCAGTTATCAGTTTTCTCTGCCGTCTGCGACAAGATGCACTGTTTGAAACTGCTACCCAACCTGCTGCATCCCATGAATCGGCACGCTGCCTCTCACCCTGGACTTCATGAAGATGAAGTACATCTGCATGAAAGTGAAGAGGGCCTGCAGGCAGGGATTGACGGCCAGCATCATCTGCCAGCAGTCCGAGCTCCGCGGGATCTCGAAGAACGAGCCCAGCTCCAGACCATTGTACACCATCGTGCCCAGGCCGAACGCTGTCAAGGGCGGGGCGTTCGATGACGTCATGAGGCGACCGCCACGCGCCACACCCGCTGTGACATGACGGCCGACGGCTCGTCACCATGACGAGTTGCCAGGGTACGGACAACGACGCGTGAAGCGGCAGGCAGAGATGAAGGAATCATACGGATTCGTAAGCATATCGAACGCCAGAACTGCGCGACGAAAGATGACATGTCACAATCTGGAAAACATTATCACAAGTCATGCCAAATACAAAAACGTAACATGGCAGTTGAGTGCGTGATGACAGGCAGACCTTTCTCCACCGGCCGTGCACCAGCAGCCCTGACCCTATGCGACCTCCCTGCCCTGCGCACCCCGGCCGGCCTCACTGACCGATGGCGCCGATCCGCAGGAAGAAGCCGCCGTGACTGTGGTCATTATCGCTCGTCTTGGTCTTGCGCAGGCGGCTCGTTCTCGAGAAGTGCTCGGGGGAGCCGCTCCCGTGGTTAAGGCTCACTTCCACAGCGGTGCTGGCGCTCTGTCAGCAAACAGAGGCCAAGATGTTTTTGCATGTTTCCTGACCCGATTTATACGGTACAGACATCTACGTTAAACGGATAGCAATGGATTGGCAAAGCATCTGTCATTACACGAAGTACGTAAGCCTGACAGCAGCACAAAATTGTGACAACGTTAACACGTTCAAAATGGTCTCGCTCATGATCATCATAAATATAAATCTATCAGGCCTCTCAAGAATGCAAGCAAGTGCTATACCCGGCTCATATGCCCAAAATTGGAAGGATAACACCGCGGCGTGTTAAACAGCACTTTTCAACATCGTAGACCACAAGAAATGTCACTAACAGTTCCACAGCATCCGGAGCCTCCGCCTCCCCCGGCGCCTCCAGAGCCGCTCTCGTGCAAGAGGTAGGTGAAGATGTAGATCAGAAACAGGATGCTCCCGCCGTACAAGTAGACGAAGAATCCCTGTGGCAGGAAGAAAGCACGGAAATTACTGAGCGACTTAGCCATGATAAGCCAGAGCAATGTTTTAGTCATTTCCGTGACACCAGCCCTCGGTTCTCGCTTTTCACTGTATCGCAATGACGCCTGACAATCTGCCACATCTGTGCCGTACCACATGTACTTAACCCGCCACCGCCCGGAATATTTTACCTCCCGCGACTGCCTGGGGGGGGGGGGGGGGGGGGGGAACGGCCACACTAGTGTCTCCGGATCTACTAGTCTGACCGGCAACATGCAAACGGCAATCCATACTCCTGGTCAATCTCACTGATGATTCGCTCAGTTGGTGTTGCATATGAGCCATTCACACGACGTAATTGTTAGAAACGGATGTTCCAAACCAATCTATTTGGTGGCGTGGCAGCCCGGTAGGATTTCGTGGTGTTACAGGCCCGACCATGATAGACGTTAAACCAGTTCGGTTTCGGTGACTTAGTGACCTACAGCCAACCTACTTGGCGATCTACGTCAAGGCAGCCCTAAACGAGACAGGCAATGGAGAATTACCTTTTTCAGAATTGCAAATTGCCGTGTAAGTTTATTTGTGATATCATAGCTCAGTGATCTGAGCAAACATCGCCCAGTTCGTTTTTCGAGGATGTGTCAAGTAAGGCCCCGCCAGGTACTGAATATTTGTCGGACCTTCCTGGTGCGCCTCGTAGGTCATCGCTGAAACTCGAATGGGTGCTTCTTTTATTCTACAGGTGGTTATGGAGCAAACATTATTGGAAAATTAGAGGAATAAGATAAGCATACCGTGCGACGCTTCATAGTTCCAGTTCCATAGCTTACTGAATGAGCGCAGTCATCCAAAATACCATGCACGCCAAAACTTGAAATAATTCCTCATGTACCGACACCGCCTCAGCGAAGTACAATATAGAAGACAAAGCACGACGGCCTGAGGAAATATCCGCCCAGCCTATATAAAAAAGAATTGCTTTTGTTCAACCTAGGGCCATACTTACCTACTACTCCGTACGTAGGTTATACGTAATATATCACAATGCGTGCATACTGCCAGCACTGCCCGCCCCCGACAGAGCATACTGCCAGCACTGCCCGCCCCCGACAGAGCATACTGCCAGCGCTGCCCGCCCCCGACAGAGCAAACAACACTTCGCAACGTCGTATCTTGCGTGATTACATACTGCCCGGCAGCACGGGCCCCTGAAACACCCCAACCCATCCTGTGCCAAACCGCCCGCAGCTGCGCACCTCGCAGCGCCGCAGCCGACCGCGCAGCAGCCTGTGGCCAGTATGTGGCGTTAGCGGCCCACTCAGCCGGAATGATCGAGTCTAGGCATATCATCAAGCCGGCCATCCAACAAACTTCGCACTGGCAGGCCGCGAGAGCGCGGGGCAGCGTGAGGTTTCGCCAGCTTTGTTTGGCCTTAAACACCACGTGCTTTAACAAAGTCGCCTTTGCCGGCAATAGGACGCGCCGATAACACTCACCTCGTAGTAGTACAGGGGCACGTTGGAGGTGATGACTTCCGATATGAGGAATGCGATGCACACGACGACCAGGAGTTTGGCGTACACCAGCGACAGAACTCGAAAGCAGGCCGTCCTGAAAACATAACGACATTGTTTCAAAGCAATCGGGTTGATCAAACCAAGCATAACACTTACATTCCACATCCTTCAAGTGGAAGACTAGTGCAGGCGGTCTTGAAAACATGTAAATACCGTACCTCTGATAGTTAAGTCTTGGTAACAGGCTGTCTTGAAAACTGTGCAAAAACTCGCGGGAGATTGGAAAATAAATTTTGGAAACTCGCGGTAAGTATTGGAAAACAATTAAAATTCGATACGTCATGCAATGAACTAATGAGCAAGGGCCACAACACAGGCCCGCCTCTCAACCACTAACAAAGGGCTAACGAGTTCCTCGGACCACGATACAATGCATCATTTCGCAGTCACATCTTCACAGCGACCGAACTTCGCAGTTAATACACAAGTCAGGTGCGTTTCCTATCAATATAATATGAGTCAGTCAGCAAACAAAGATCACTGGGTTCCCATTGAGACCGCTCAATGAGGACAAGGATGAGACTATCCTCCATCATTTCATCGTGATGCACGACTCTTGCTAATACTGTGCGCGGCTGCATTTATTACCCACTTCGGAACATAATTACAAGAGCTTAATTTCACACTGACACATACATTTTACCACATTTGATTGACTCATTTTAAAAGTTGAAAGCGATGCACACAATGAAAGCCAAGCTGATGGACGGAGCATAGCTCATTATGTAGAAGAAAAGCCCTGTCTTAAATCATGCAGAGCCAGACCACATGGCCATAATAGGTGGTCATGATAGGTGATCATGATAGGTGTTCTATACGACAGATCAAACAGAGAATCACTGCTGAACGTGATACAGGTCCTGTCCCGTCCCCCGTCCCGCGTAACCTTACGGGACGAGTCTCATTGGCAGCCGGGCATCGCTATGTTGTCATGTTCTTGCTGTATCAAGTCCTGCTTTTTTGCTGCCTTATTCCAGGTGTATGCGACAAATAAAAAATAAGCGTTATTCCGGTGTTCATTGCTTTGTTGGGGTGAAATCCAGACGCACAGAGACGATTCGTCCTTTTTCAACATAGTTCTCAGGAGTGTGTTATGCTAAGGAGATACATACCGGATTTTCTGCTCATGCATCAAGTGTTAGTTTGGAATGTCAAATGAGAATTAAGTTAGCTGTGGAAAGAGAGGTGATGATCACATTTGAAAATCCTGTCTAGATTGAATGTTGACTGGTATATGTACACAATTTGTGGTTACAATTCAATTTGCATTATATTCTTATTAAACATCATCGAGCAATACTACTTGCAATGGAAAAGAGTTGAGACAAGAAAATGGGAAAACTGGCAATTGCCCGTTTATTGTGGGGTGTTTGTCTTCTTCCAACTCGTGGAAAAAATGTCGCATATCATTTGGGTCTTATAAACTAGTGGAGAACACTCTGGACCTACAGCACACTCTGGAACTGGAGCACACTCGCATACTTGGAAGAACCATTTGTTTTTTCTGACGACAGTTTCTGATGACATTGATTCTGATGATTAACTATTTTTCTGATTATTTGATGGATAGGTTTGCCAGCATATATTTATTGTCTGCACATAATTTCAATCGTCATGTAGGACTCTGCATTAGCTTGAGGGTTATAGACGTGGTTTGCTCTGTGAAACAACACATTTTAACAACTACTGTGGGATTGATTGGTGCTGTTTTTGCTCTTTTTGCTGTATCCATCAATATTCAAGTGCAAGGTATGCTATAAGGCATCTTTGGTTTGAGCAGTGCAATGGTTGTCAGTTTAACTGCGGTCCTTACTTGACTTGATAAGCCTAAACTTGGAAGTAATGCATTTTAAAGAAATACTGTCCATTTAGCTGCAATTCATGTTTTGGCAATGTGCAAGGCAAATACTTACACGCTGTCTCAAATGGGGCAAATAGTGCAACTAGGTCTTTAATTTGGACCACGTCGTGTCCGCCCACAGCATTTTGGCATTCTCCATCGCTTCCACAGTAATCTTTGGTGGTGAATATCATGGATAGTTTGTTGTGAAGTGATCTAAGATGTTCTCTTGTTATTGACATATTTTTGTCAAGTTCTTATATTGCTTGATTATTCTTCAGTCACATGCATATCAGTGTGCCTATAGAAATGTGATTAACCTATGTACCAGTCCAGCTTGATACCCTACCTCTTTTTCTAGCACCAAGCTTTGTGTATAACTACCTTGTGGTGCACATCTGTGTTGGTTTATGATCATTATTTTTTGTATGATGCAGTCTCATTAAGGGTCTATCATTCTTTCTGAGTAACTACGAAGTGTGGTTGGTGGCAATTTTCAAATTAACAAGCATGACAAATTTTATGTTGCATTCGATTGTTCTAGATGCACAAATGCAAGCATGCACACCACCGATTCTTACATTTTGACGCGCATCTCATATCAATGCATCATTGTACGCCATCAGCAATTGTCAATTGTTTAATCCAGAGCGACGTTATTCGTTTGTGCAAAACGTTTTTATCACGATTACTGCTCCGCTTAACTTTGACGCGGCCGGCTTGATGGCACAGGCCGCGCGAAACCGTCGGCACAAGTCGGTCACGCCCCGCCACCGTCGGCACCAACCGGCCGCGCACCGCCGTCGACACCAGTCGGTGGCACCAACCGGTCGCGCGCCACGATCGGCACCAGTCGGTCGCACCCCGCCACCGTCGACACCAGTTGGTCGCACCCCGCCACCGTCGGCACCAACCGGTCGCGCCCCGCCGCGATCGGCACCAGCTAGTCGCGCGCCGCCGCCGTCAGCACCAGCCGGTTGAACGCCATGCATTTCCTTTTTTCGACTATTTCTTGGCCACGTGGAATTTAGGGGTCATGGGGTCATGGGGGTCATGATCCACCCTACGGCCAAGCATGCATTTTGCGGTTATCTGCTTTCATGGTGGTATTCCCGGATGGGCCATTGGCCCTGTCTATAGCAAAATCTAAGACTGAGTGGGGAAAGAATAGAAACGAATCAGTCGAAATGCAATTAAGACTAGAAGGTGACCTGCCCTCAGGCCAAGAACTGCCGGTATGTTAAAATGCCAGGCAATCTTTTTCGTCGTCACAGCATATTAGGCTGATCTTTTACGCTCAACCTCGGCCCAAACATGTCTCCCCTAAACGCGACATGAGGTCAACTTTTTAAAGGCTGACCTGCATTGTCCAGTTTGGGTTGGTGACCCGACCTACAGGGGTCGAAATTTTTACGCCAGAGGTCAAACGGATAACCGTAAGACCAATCAGAACTTGACAGTGCTGCACAACATTGCTCCATCGCCATACTCGGTAGAAATAACGGCAGATTTCTTCCCATGACGATCGAATATTAATGTTGCATATGTTGCAAGGAGCTGTAGTCAGAGTTTCAAATATTTCAAAGCTTTCCCTGTAAAGCTGTAATGTGGATTAAGTTCGAGGACAAAGCGTGCCTGGGTGGCTCAAATGTGTAAATCTAGACGACAGAAGAAATGGGGGGGGGGGGTGGGGGGGGGGGGGGGGGGGGGGATTCCACGACGATGGCCGTCAGCGTACAAGGATCAGCTGTTTTTCAAGTAAAGCAGGCCGAACCGAATTTCTTGAAAACAAATACGTTTTCCGTGCTTCTATCCTCACAACGAATCAAGGTATATGGCCCAAAGTGGACAAGCTCTCCTACCTACCACATTTTGTCATAAAAGTCAAAAATTTGACGGTTTGCGTCAGTAGGAAAATGCACACACAATTCGCAATCATCTAATGCTGAATCAAGTTTTGTCCCCAAGTCTGTTCTGGGTGAAGGAAACATTTCTTCTATATCTTGGCTAAACTGTTCATGTTGGATGCTTTGCGATTCCAGTCAATTTAGCACGTTACAGGCCACAAAAAGGGGACAAAGTCGAGTTTGCGGAATAAGCTGGCGATATTTGTCGGCATCGCAAAGTAACGTATACATGAAAAATGCATACTTCTTTACGGCGGTTGATGGAGACGTGTTAAAGGTATTTTTACAGCTCTTTGTGCATGCTAACGCTGTTAGTAACCAAAAGCAAAATAATAATACATTGCAAACGCAATGAAAAGGCCAAAGTCCGCTACCAGTGGCGCTGTAATCGATGTCCACGCTCGTCGCCCCACGATCTAGTTTGCCCACGCGAATCCACTCCTGCAAGGCAAATACTTGAACGACTTCTTCACCATGACTGAAACACGCGTAGGTTATGTTCTAAGGCTGTGCCGTGTCTACTGCTACGCAGCGCAGAAAATAGGGCATCCGCTTGTCCGTCCCACGCCCGAAAACGCGCGGTGCTTCCGTGGATGGCATCACGGCTTGCAACCCCTCGTACTGTTTAGAACACATCGTGCTATGGTGAATGTGTGCGGTTATCGCGCCTGTGGGTTGAACAACCGAACCATTTCACGATGTTGCTCTGTTTTCCACACCAGATCTTGGTGTTTGGGAGACGCACGGTGTAAACGTCTGGTGTCAATGTTACTCCAGAAGCCTTACACCACTTCTGGTGCTTCTGATCGTCCAAACTCCGACGTGGAGTTTTCAAAACTCAAGGATTGGGAAGAATCCTTCACTGATAAGAGGGAACAAACAGAAGCGTTGACTTAGCTACTAGTGTTTGTGATGCGATCAGCACGCTTCCGACTTCGTACATCACATTTTCTTATATCTGCAACAATGTGACGCTTAGTTTTAGCGAATACGCAGGCTGAAACTCAAAACTGTTAATCCTGAAAGACACTTTGTGGTTCAATCCATTAACCAGGGAGCGGACTGATCAATGGAAGCAATTCAGTGCACAGCACAGGTCTCCAATTTCCGGCCGACTTCATTAGGGCCAAACTTCATTGGAGCCGCAGGATATTTCGGGCGGTGCAGTGTTACAGCTACAGGCGTTTGGCGAAATGTCGGGCGCAGATCCTATTCCGGACGACTGTATCCGAGTCGTCTCATTGCACCGCACCAGATTCCAGACCTATCCGGTCACAAACAGCCAGC